ATTAAATTATTTACTTTGCTTTTTATTTTATTTAATAAAATAGATACAAAATTAAAACAAAGATGTTACAATATTAATAAAAGTTAAAAAAAATATTTTTTTGAATGTTATTAAAATTATAACATCTTTGTTTTTATTTTGTATCTACTGTATTAAATAAAATAAACCCCAAAGTAAATTAATGAAATAAATACTTAACTAGTATTAATTTTATTTGTTAACACATGGCTTGATTTTTATATTTATTAACACTACAAGCCACCATTAGAATCCGATAAAACTTTTAAATAAATGAGAAATAAATAAAATATCAAAATTTAAACATATTATTTAAACTGATACGGGAAGTTCCAGCAATTTGCCTTAAGGCACGATGCCATACACCACTACACATAAATATAATAAATAACTATAGTTATTTATTATATTTATGTGTTTAAATTAAATTTCTTCATAAAAAACAATTACCAACCAATTAAATAATAATTTATTTTTATACCATAATAATATATAATAATTTTATACCAAATAATTATTTGTTGAATTCTATTGAGACAAACTTTAATTTTAAATTCGTTTATTTTTAATCAAATAAAATAAACCGCAAAGTAAATTATTTAAATAAATACTGAACAAGTATTTGTTAACATACGAGTTAACATTTATATTTATTAACACTACAAGCCACCATTAGGATTCCGAATAAAATTAAATAAAATAAGAACTAAATAAAATGGCAAAAAAATGTTATTACCTTTGTTATTTCGCAAAATCATCTTCGACATCCTCCAAAACTTCCAAAAACTCCTTTACCAATAAAAACAACTCTTGTATCATATTCAACATAAGAACTTGGTAAGCATTTCATTGTTGCATTGCACACACTAAAACATCAATTGTAACAAAAATCCTTAGCAATAAACACTTTATAATTATCTAAGAATACTAATACACAATCTTTTATCATTATTTCACCATTAATAATATTTTTTAAAAGGATTTTTATTATATTATTGGCTTACCAAGCCGAACGCCATCCTCGGACTGCCGAAGAGCATGCGCTGTCAAAGGGACAGAGGGACAGATGTCCTTTCTGGGCGCCCTTCAAGAGTGTTTGTTCCTGATCTGGCAACACTAGGCAGGGTTGTATTAGAGGATGTGGTAATACTTGCAGGGATGTACTGGGGGAGAAAGGATAATGGTAATAGAATTAGTTATGGGTATATGAAGGTTAGATAAATATTATTTTTGATATAGTGGAAATTCAATATGCAAATTATTAGGGAATAATTGTTATCACAATATTGAAGTACAAGGGACGTATTAGATAATTCATATATGTATATATATATATATATATATATACTAGCTGACCCGGCAAACGTTGTTTTGCTAAGTAAGATATATTCTAAACAATTTCTAGGGAATCAAAAATATTAATACTTTAAGTGTATAAGGATGTGTGTTGTTTGAATGCTATATACAATAAGGTATTATAAAATCAAATAAACCCCATTAGTTTGTCTATATTTTGTCTTAAAGTTTTATACACTTTCTATAGAAAACATGGTATAATCCAATCCAAGTCTTTTTTGGTCTTTCAACTTATTGATTACGTTTCAAGTCTTTCAGATTCTTTTTGGATTCTGGATTTTGTGTATAATTCTGAATAATACTACTGAGCTTATACAAAATTTTCAAATTTCTGCGAGGAGAGATAGAAAATGAATTAAGTATTTCTTCTTTGACCCGCTTTTTGAAAAGTTTCAAGTAACATTCGATGCAGTAAAGGCAATTTAATAAAAAGTATATATATATACGTAGAGCAGGGCAACGCACAAAGGTCCAATTTGACTTTGAGCAAATATTAATTATATTATAAAAATCAAACCAATTATATCACAACAAATAAGACATCTTAAACCAACAATTATGACTACGTTCAGTAAAACTGCCAGCAACTTTATCACTGTAAAAATGTACTTTTTTGCTGTCTTGATGTCAAAAATGTAGACCTTTTTACCCTACAGGCGAAGTAACTTGGAACAGCCAGGTGGCAAACAGGTTTAATGTCTTATTTTAATTTGAACCATACAAAATAATTACATTTTTAACTAATGCTAAAAAAACTACCAACGGAAGAAAATACATTTATTATGGATTTTCAAAGATTACCTTTTATCTCCCGATCGCAAAGTCATGAGAATCAAGGTTATAGCTAGTTTTACATCTTCATCCCTCTACTTTCAAATATTGTTGTTAAACAATGCTTAACTTTACTGATTTTTGACACATCGGTGTTGGATCTTTTTAACCCCGGACCTTCATATATTACTATCTATTCTTCAATAAATTCTGAGAAATTTTAACTGGGAAAATGTTATTTGATAAAATGTCCCTTTGATCGATACCAAATTTAGGTTCTGAATTTAAATAACATAAATAAAAAGTAATTTAATCTAGAAAATGTTTTATAAATACCAATGAGTATATAATTGTACAAATGAGATCTTTTAGAGCACCGTGTTTGAAAAAAATATGCTGAGAAGTGCATTTTCACATTAACATTTCAAAAAAGTTGATATTTTGAGTTTCCAGTAACACTTGCGATCCATTTAATAACGTTTTTATGTATAAATAATACTACAAACCAAAACTATTTACTACAATTTAATCACAATTAAATAATATTCACGTAAAACATCCTATTAAATTTTATAAAACATAATCTGTCCAAACCATTTGACATTTGACAAAAATGTTTTAATTAAAAATGTTATGTTTCTACGCGGTTTTGAAATAGTTTCCCACCTTTCACACAATCTCTGGATTAGCACGAATATTTCTAGACTAAAACTGGCCAAATCGGTTCAGCCGTTTTCGAGATTTAGCGAATTTAACATAATATCGAGCACCATTTTGATTAGAAGATAAGATTTTTGATTAGAAGATAAGATATATATTAGAGAATTTAATACACAATTTATTAGAGAAAAACCGCTAGAAAAATAATTAATTTATTATATAAATGTTATTAGTAGTAGTAGTAGACGCATGTTGGAATATTAGTAAGGAAGTACTAAGAAAAAAGAATAAATTAATTACAGGATGACTTTATTAATATAATAATGCAAATTTAATTTTAAAATGTAGTATTAAATAGATTTATTTCTGAATCCATTAAATTCATATATAGTACTTCTCTTATTCCTTATTAGGAAATAAGGAATAAGGCATAAAGTATCTAAGAATGTCGTAAATTGTCTGAAAGGGATTTTTAAAAATATTGTAAGATGTCTGAAAATGTTACAGAGTTTTCTAAAAATATTGCAGGATTTTATAAGAATATTGTAAGTTGTTTGGAAATGTTACAAGGATTGCTAAGAATGTTGTGGGTTGTCTGAAAAAGTTGCAGAATTTTTTAATATAATTGTGAGTTCGCTAAAAATGTTACATGGTTTTCTAAGAATGTCTAAACTTTTTGAAGATGCTGCAGGTTTTTTTAAGAATATTGTAATTTGTCTAGAAATATTGAAGTTTTTTTAAGAAGGTCTACAAATGTTGCAGATTTTTTTAAATAATGTTGTAAATTATATGACAATTCTAAGAATGTTGTAAGCTACCTAATAAATATTGCAGAAATTTCTAAGAATGTTTTAGGCAGTATAAAAATGTTGCAGGGTGTTCTAGAAACGAATTGAGTAGTTGTAAAATGCCTAAAAATGTTGCAGAGTTTTCTAAGAATGTAGTAAGTTGTTGCACAATTTTTTGAAGAATATTGTAAATTTATCTAAAAATGCTGCAGGGTTTTTCAAGAATGTTGTACGTTGTCTAAACATATTATAGGATTTTCTAAGAATGTTTAAGAACATCTAAAAATGTTGCAGAGTTTTCTAAGAATGTTGTGAGTTGTCTAAACAAGTTGCAGAGTTTGCTAAGAATGTTGCAAACTGTTTGAAAATGTTGCAGATTTTTCTAGGAATGCCCTAAGTTGGCTGAAAAAAATTATTTAAAAATATTGTAAATTGTCTGGAAATGTTGAAAATTATTTATCCAAAGATATTGTAAATTGTCTGATAATGTTGTAAATTCTCTGAAAATGTTGTAAATAATCTAAAATGTAGTAGAATATTTGAAAATGTAGTAGATTGTCCGAAAATGTTGTAGTTAGTCTGAAAATATTGTAAATTGTTTAAAAATGTTATAGATGGTCTGAAAATATTGTAAATTGTCTGATAATGTTGTAAATTATTTAAAAATCTTGTAAATTGTTTAGAAATGTTGTAGATTGTTTGAAAATGTAGTAGATTGTCTAAAAATGGTGTAGAGTATCTGAAAATCTTGTAGACTGAATGAAAATTGCGCGAAAAAGATATAAATACAAAATATTGAAAATATAGAACTAAAATATTAACAAATGCAAAATATAAATTTGGATTTCTCTTTTCATAAATCATAATAAAAAGATGCAACCCAAATTAAATTGTAAGCCTTTTTAACAGAGTTTATCTTATAGAGTTCAGTAAATAGTTTCACTTCAGAAAAATAATAGTTATTTCTTTAACATAAAATTTCAGTATTTAAAATCTTATTAAGCATTATGAAAAGATGCTTTAAATGATAAAAATCGTAATCGTCTCAATCGTATTTTAAAATCAGTTCAGCAATTTAGGAGTCCATTCGAGACAAACATCATGAAATGTAGTTTATATATAATAATATAAACATTTCATCATTTATAAACTTGACCGTACAAAGAATCAGTCTATATTTATTACCATAGCATACATACTCACTTATATAAGATTAAAACTAAATGTCATAAATATAATTTAAAATTAACCTTTACATTTCAAAATCCTACATTCTTATAGCATCTTGCAATCTGCGCCTCGCCAGCATCACTCTGTCTTCTTGTCTGCGAATATCTTCATCAGCAACACTTATAGCTTGGACCAGCGGTTGTTCTGGGTTTAAAAAGACACCAGGATTAGTACCCAGGGCTGACTTACTGCCCGTTTGCCCTGGGAAAAGAAAAAACAATAATATAGATAATTTTAAGTACATTAAGAGAATGTAATTATTACCTGTGACAGGCTGTCCAGAAACATGAAGTGCTGTAGCTAACGATTGTAATAAGGTGCTTTCAGAAACGTGTGGTCCAACTGCTTTGAGACCTTTGGGGAGTTCTACAGGTCCTAACGCTGTACCGTCAAGATCACAAGCTTTTAAACCCTTGAGACAAAAACCATAGGTACAAAAGATATAAAAATAGTGTATAAATCTTCTATTAGGTTACCTCTAATCTTTTCTCCCAAAACAATTGTTTCGGTTTATCCTGACAACCGTGCTTCAAATCAGTCTTCACTTTACCCTCTTGTGTTTTGAAAACTGTAACGGGTTGTTTGAAAATAGAAGCAGTTTGTCGAATCGGTGGGACTAAAGATGCATCAGCTCTTGCACTACGACTAAAATAATAAATAACAATTAACAGTGGTTTTGATACAAATTGATAATACAAATGTTTAAGATCTTTAGTTTATTTATAATTGATAAAATGTTACAAAAACATTCTTGTGGTATGTTTCTGAGTAATGTTATAAATAGCTAAGATCTAAAACATTATTAAAACCTGTAATACACGTCAACTTTTCCAGCGGAGATCCCAGCTTTTCTGAAAGCCTCTTCTTTTGGCCAACTTTTTGGAAGTCCTGCATATTCTGTCTTTTTTCTCTCAATTGTTATATTCATGATGCTTATTTAGAAAATCAACACAAAACGTCCAAAAAGAACTTGCAAACTAAAGCACACTTATTACGCCTGTTTGTATCAATAAATTATTTATATATGCAAAGTTATTTGCTATAATATATAAGTTATTTATATATATTTAATAATATAATTTTTTCAAAGCTTTATGAAGACTCAATTAATGAAAACTGTCACCTGTCACAACAAACAAGATGAAGTGCGAAGTTAGGTACAAAAATATTTTCACCAAAGTAACCGCGAAATTTGAATTCAAATTTTCAGGAACAGAATATTTAAAACTAGGTATAAGTTGCATTTTGCCTTAGGGCAAGTTGCAAAAACGTGTAAATATGACTTGAAATATTAACTTAATTAATAACAATTGCGATTTAGCTATTTAGATGATCGAATTTCATTAATAACTAAATAATGTTATATTGTATTGATATTCCAAATGCAAATAAACTTATATTTGCAAATTTATAACTTATATAAATAAATAAATATATATATATATATATAACAAATGTATTCTGAGTGGTAAGATATTAATTTAGAAATATGAACAAACAGCACATTTTTTTGCACTGATTTATTAAAATATTAATTTTACAGACGTTTCGAGACTAGGTTTGTCTCATCATCAGTTAACACATAATACTAATTTAAATTTTCACATTTTTGATTTTAAATTATAATACACTGATGATGAGACAAACCTAGTCTCGAAACGTTTGTAAAATTATTATTATTTAATAAGTTGATACAAAAAATATGCTGTTTATTCATATTTCTAAATTAATCGACAGTTTTTTTTTGACTTTGAAATATATTCGAAAATAATTAATAGCCCATTCGTCAAAATGAAAAAAATTAAGAAAAACATTTCTCTATTATTATACGTTTTGATACTTTATGTGTGTCATCATTCAGTAAATCAAGAATGTGTAACTTGTCACATTTTTACCCTCTTCTTACCCTCAAAATTCTGAATTTCTTAAACTAATTGAAATAGGCTTAGAATATTTCAATAGTCTAATTGAAATAGGCTTCTAACCCTCAATTTTAATTTAAAAAACAATGTAGTTTCCTCAATAGTTATATTCACCTCTAGCAACATATTTTTGTTTGAATTTAGGGACCAATTTCGTAACTAAAATGCCCTAAACATACAGCCCTAAATTTTTACCCTCCCCTATCACAAACCCTTTTTGTTTCGTAAAAGTCATTTTAGAAAACAAATACTTTTTCATTTCTCGTTTAGTCAATAAATGTTTTTGACTTAATTTTCGTCCAGTTTGTTTAAGTTTATAAAAAAGCTAAAATTTTACAGCAGAAAAAATATTTTTATCAAAGGCTGTCCATCCCTAACATTTTTTTTTTAATTTTGGGATCAATTTTCTTTATTTTAATTTTCTATAATTCGAAATTGATGAACTAGAATAGAACTTTCTTTTACTTCGAAAAACTATTTTTATGAAGGATTGTCCACCCATATTTTTCTTAAATTTTGGAATCAATTTTCTTTCAATTTTAATTTTCATAATGCGTACAACTTTAAATTTTCACTCTACTTCTACTAATATCTATTTCATAATCGTCATTTTAATAATCGAATAATTTTTTACTGAATTTTAATTCATACATTCCTGACCATAGTTAATATGACCAAGAGCATATGTGACATGCTTTGCAGTGGGTAAACTATTCATATATTTTTTGTTAGCTGCCGCTTTCACTTATACACCACATTTGCAATCATTTAGTTATTTTTATACTGAACATTTTATATTAGAAATATTTTTTAAGGCAAAATAACATTTTCCGGGTCAGCTAGTATATATATATATATATATATATATATATATATATTTCTATCTTAAACTCCGAAAAGTGAATAGTTTCGACAACTTGTTAAGTTATCATGGTTATTAGTGTGTTTTACCGTTTGTGATGTTAAAAAATATATATCTTATCAATGTGCATATACTCATACCATGGATTAATAATGGTTTCATATGCTATATTAGGATACAAAATTTTAATTTGATTACCACTGAATGATGGCTAAGATGCTATCCGAAACGTATGGATTTTAAATAAATAAACTTTTAAAAAAAACTCTCATACTATTTTTATTGATGTTACGCCCGAATATTAAACTCAAATTAAACATATATTAACATCAAATTCAAGACTATTCAAATATATTATATATATTATATATATATATATATAATATATATATATATATATATATATATATATATACATATATATTAGGTTGTCAAATATCTCCCTTCCGCTTTTTTGCTCTTGGTTTTATACAAAAAGGCGGAAGGGAGATATTTGACAACCTTATATAATAAATAAAAAACACGTTCTAATTTTTAAAAACATGTTTTTATTATTATAATACTTTCCATAATAATAATGTGATGTATATATTCCATATTATCAACTATTATAAAACCACTCCATTAATAAATATGTTTATAATAAATGCATATTAAAAAGTGATTACAAAAATAAACGATGTAATGTAATGATTGAGTATCACAAATATTTTCTACTACTAATCATGTACTGTGATTTCTAAGGGAGGTATAAATCTCCAAATATGAGCAGGCGTTTGCAACATGGGGCTCATGGCCCTTTTACTATCGCTCTGTGATGACATTATGTGTATGGGGGCACTGCATTGGATATCGGCTTTGTAGCGCCCGGGGTTGAAAAAGACTACCGAGCATTCGTGATGTGCTTTGTCTTGCTCGTTTAGCAAGGGTAAGAGAATTCTAAAAGAACAAGATAATAAAAGACTCGATAAACACAAAATTGGAGCTTATAGGTCTATCACTTACTTGTTGGCTCCGGTGCAGGCAACTCTGGTTTCCAATCTGTAGTCGTTGATGCCATTCTGGTGATCCTGGTAGAAACTTATGGACAGAGATAGATGTGATAAAGGTTTCGGCAAATGGTTTGCAATAGACACACCTATCCTGACGCACTGTCCGGCCTGGCAGGAATATTCTTCTTGTGGACGAAGTTGCTGGGCATTCAAAGTCACCTCTGGAAGGTAAAAATAAAAATTATAATTATATATATATATATATATATATATATTACAATTTATCAATTTCCTTCTTACCCCATTGCAACGGTGCAACTCTGACCAAATCCAACATGTGTGATGCCAAACTAATTCCCTTGAGACTGGCAGTACCGTGTATTTGTGTTCCTATTAATTGCCACTTCAGTACTACTAGGGCTGTTATGTGCTCCGAGCAAGCTCGATCGATGTCTTGTAGAAATGATGGATAAGGATTCAGAGAATCTAAATAAAATATAATAAAAATTAGAACAAAAGAAGAAATAAATTATATGAATGGTTTCTACCTGTCTCTGATAATGGTTCCTCTTGCGGCATCTTTTCCAAAGGGCACCTGTTGACTGGTACAGGCACCCGACAGCTTTCCTGAGCTTCTATCAGCATATTTTTGTCAGTCGTGTACTCTAAAGAAATTTCCTGCTGCGTCAGATTCATCACGTCTAGTACTAGATAGAATTGTGAAGGCCTGGGAAAAAATAAGATAAATATTAGGGTCGTCCTTAATATCGACATTTTCGAATTTTCTTGCTCCCAAGGGCTCAAATGGTTCCAAATTGATACAAAACAATTCTCTGAAAGTTTTAGCTCTTAATATTGGTTTTTAGATAGAGCGCAATTCAATCAAACTTTGTATGGAAATAGCATAGAAAATTCCCACTTTGTGTAAATTTAACGGGTTTGTTTTTCCACCTATACCAAATTATCTACCTATACCAAAGTATCTAGTACTGTATCTGAAAGGTTAATTTCACCTAGGTTGTGTTTCATGCAAATTAGACGATTGCGACATGCAAATGGGCAATTTGGAATGTTTGGCCAAATTATAAATCTGCCTGTTGACATTAATAATATGGTTAATTTATTACCTCGTAATATTGATGATAGTCATTGCATTGACGTTCACATAAAAAAGCATTGATTCTTAGATCAAGCATGTGCAGGACTTGATGAATAAAACAAATATAAAAGTATGGCTTCAATTTGTTAGGCAAGACGGATATTACAGCTGTTCAAGGAATGAGATTATATCGTCAGCGAAAAAGTAAAAAAATACAAACAGTAAATGAATGTATATTAATTTTAATTACATGAAGTTCTTCAAACACAATTGTTACAGGATGAGTTAATTTGCAAAAACAATATTTGTTTAGGCGTTGTTTAACATAATCCACTGTGTGAATGAATATTATAGACTTTATTAATCAACAATTACTTTAAAACAATCATGTCATATTTGATTACATTACGTACGTACGACTTTGATTACATTATTGTTTGTAAATATTATACATATTTTTAATGTAATCATAAATATATAATTTATAATTTATCATTATATAAATGTGTATAATAAATGACGACACTAATAAATGTGTGCATCACGAGTGTTACCATATTACTAATAAACATTGTTCAAAATTTTTATATGATGCATTTATTTTTACTCAACTTAAATTTGCTACTTTATACAGTAGCAAATAAGTTTTACTTCAATCGCGTGTGATCCTTACGCGCACTCTTTTTTTTAACTTTTTTATTTTATATTACTTTTTGAACTATATACTATATTACTATATATATATATATGTATATAATATAGTATATATATATAAACTATGTAACTATATGTATATACTATATATATATATATATATATATATATATATATATACTTATAACTATATTTTGAACTATATATAATTGATAAAAACAATTCTCTAAAAGTTTTAGCTCTTAATATTAACTTTTAGATAGTGCGCAATTCAATCAAACTTCTTATGGAAATAGCATGGAGAAAATTTTGAAAATCAAAAAAAAATTTTTTTTAGGTATAACTTAGAGTCAAATGAATTAAAAGTGAAAATTCTTGTCATTTTTTATTGAAAATTCGATAAAGTAAAATTTTTGTATATTTTTCCATTCTATTTTCATACAAAACTTTGATTGAATTGCGCTCTATCTAAAAGACAATATTAAGAGCTAAAACTTTCAGAGAATTGTTTTTCATCAATTTGGAACCATTTGAACCTTTGGGAGCAAGGAAATTTGAAAATGCCCATATTAAGGACCACTCTAATAAATAAAAATAATTAGAACGGCGGAAAAATATTTGTTTTCATCAGACTTTTACTACTTACGTCTCTGCTGGTAGCACGTCCCAATGTGTAATCTGCACACTCGGTATCAGCTCCAAATTAATCATCAATGTACTCTGTCGACAATAACCTTCTTTGTATCCACTACCGCCACTATAACGTATTATCAGATGTCCGTTAATGTTCCTACTGTGAGGAGTTGTCAACGTGTTATGCGGAAGAGACAGAGTTGCCAAGGAAGAATGTCCTGATGTAGTCGATCTAAAAAACAACAATAGTTGACAAATGGTTGACGATAATATAATGTCTATTATTTTTGTTTGTGGTTTGTACCTAAAACTTGATGTTAATTCTGTCCTTTTTCCCAAAAGTGTGTTGGTCGGTGAGTGTACACGACTTGGAAGACTTGCATGTCCAGAGTTGGTCAAACCGCTTCCAGCACTATAAAGACTGTTGGTTCCGCCACCTGCCATCGTGTTGATACCACCTGGAAAAATATTACAATTTATATACAATTACACAGCCGCGTTTTCTAACGTCCCTCTTTAGGCGCGACATGGGTGTAAATCCGTACAAATGCAACGAAAATTGTTACGGCAAGGTCAAGTGAGAGTCATACGCTCTCGATGATATGATTCCTATACGGGTCAATTCTGATTGGTCGTATTTGTGCGAGGCTTCTTGGTATGCGTGACTTTATACGTGCGTACGTCACCGAAAGCGTGAAGCATCTTGTTTAAATTCCGGTGTTATGTCGAAACATTTTAAGTAGTATAAATCGTGAGTTAATGAAAAATGTCTGGATCGGAAGAATATTTTATCCCGTCCCCCATAAATAATTGTAGTGCAAATAGTGAAGCAAATAAAAAATCTGCGCTGCGTAAGAAATGTAAGTTTATTTATGTATTTATTATACAAATGCAACGAAAATTGTTACGGCAAGGTCAAGTGAGAGTCATTCGCTCTCGATGATATGATTCCTATACGGGTCGATTCTGATTGGTCGTATTTGTGCGAGGCTTCTTGGTATGAGTGAAATGTAAGTTTATTTATGTATTCATTATACAAATGCAACGAAAATTGTTACGGCAAGGTCAAGTGAGAGTCATTCGCTCTCGATGATATGATTCCTATACGGGTCGATTCTGATTGGTCGTATTTGTGCAAGGCTTCTTGGTATGCGTGACTTTATACGTGCATACGTCACCGAAAGCGTGAAGCATATTGTTCAATTTTCGGTGTTATGTTAAAACATTTTAAGGTTAAATAGTAGTATAAATCGTGTGTTAATAAAAAAAATGTCTGCTCCGGAAGAATATTTTATCCCGTCCCCCATAAATAATTTTAGTGCAAATAGTGAAACAAATAAAAAATCTGCGCTGCGTAAGAAATGTAAGTTTATTGAAGTAATTTGTAGTATTCGAGTTTTTCGAGGTTACTACTTGTATACCTTTGAGGTTATTACTAAAATGGAAAATTTTATTTTTATTTTTATAGGCAAGACAGATACTTCAGTTGCTCAAAGAATGAAACTGTATCGCCAGCGAAATAGTCAAAACAAACAAGCAGTCAATAAACGTATGTCAATTTCAATTACATGATAAATGAAATTGTGAAAACAAATATATAATAATAATAATAATAATAATAATAATAATATTTTATTGGAAATTTAGAGAAAGTTTACATGTTTCTCTTTTATGATGGCTATGAAGACTAATTTTAATTTATTATAATAGTAATTATAAATATTGATGCATGTTCAAAGCCTCTTACAAACTCTGAAAGATCAAGATTACATCGTCAAAGAAAACAACTGCAGGAAAATACATCGGTTACTGTCAATTTATTAGAAAATATTGAGCCAGGTATCAATTTAGACGTTAATGTCAACACCATTGACATAAGTAAGAATCTTTTTTCGCTATTTGACTCCTTTGATTCACATTTAAACATATTATTCTGTTATCTTTTTAGATGAAAGTACTGCTGTTACTTTTTCTGATACAGCAACTGCATCACGTCAATTGGAAATTAATGATTTTGCATATAATGTGACTAATAATGTGACAAGAACTGATCTTTTGCAAGATCCAAATGAAGTATTTGAACTTCCATATAAAGACTTCAATTTGTTTAGGAATGCACGAAAATTGTTTGTAAAACAATTTACAAATGATAGCTTTGGCTATGTATGTTTTGTGTGTGATCGACTTTGGTTTCAAAGTGATTTAAAAATATTAAATGAAGCTCAAAAACAAATTGGGTTGGATTTCAAACTTGTCAAAAGGCAATAAATTCGGGTAAAATTCCCACTTTGTGTAAATTTAACGGGTTTGTATTTCCACCTATACCAAATTATCTACCTAAACTAGATATTGTATCTGAAAGGTTAATTTCACCTAGGTTGCATTTTATGCAAACTAGACGATTGCGACATGCAAATGGGAAATTTGAAATATTTGGCCAAATTATAAGACGTTAATAGTATGGTTAATTTATTGCCTCGTAATATTGATGATGATCATTGCATTGACGTTCACATAAAAAAAAAAGATTCATAGATCAAGCTATGTGCAGGGCTTGATAAATAAAACAAATATAAAAGTATGGCTTCAATTTTTTAGGCAAGACAGATATTACAGCTGTTCAAAGAATGAGACTGTATCGCCGGCAAAAAAGTAAAAAGATACAAGCAGTCAATGAACGTATGTTAACTTTAATTACATGAAGTTCTTCAAGCACAATTATTACATGATGAGTGAACGAATATTATAGAATTTATTAATCAGCAATTACTTCATTTCTCTTAACGAAAAACTTGTATGCAAAAAATTTCACGAAAAACTTATATGCAATTGATAATCAAAGTAAAGCATGCGTTGCAGGTATAAAGTTTAAGATTTTTTAAAAAATATTTATGTTTAATTTAGAAAGTTACAAATTTAGTATGTCATACTTTAATATATCTACTACAAGACTAAGTACTAAAATTGATGTATTCTCTTAGAAACATTTGAGATATTTATAAAATTATCATAAAACGCACACGAAAAACTTATATGGAATTGATAATCAAAGTAAAGGATGCGTTGCAGGTACTTATGAAGTTTAAGATTTTTTAAAAAATATTTATGTTTGTATTAGAATGCTGCGATTTTAGTATATCATACCTTAATATATCTACTACGATACTAAAATTGACGTATGTTCTTAGAAATTTTTGAGATATTTATAAATTTACCAAAAAACGCACACGAAAAACTTATATGCAATTGATAATCAAAGTAAAGCATGCGTTGCAAGTATAAGATTTTTTAAAAAATATTTATGTTTAATTTAGAAAGCTACAAATTTAGTATGTCATACTTTAATATATCTACTATAACCCTGAACACTAAATTTTTAATTTGTTTAACATAATCCACTTTGTAAAATAGTAATAGAATATTACAGAATTTTTTAATCAGCAATTACTTCATTTATCTAATGAACGTTCATTTATAAATGCTAATTACAATGACAAACCGATCAGGTCATATTTGAAGTATGACTTTAATTACATTATTATTTTTAAATGTTATACATAATTTTAATGCTATTATAAATATACTAGCAAACCCGACAAACTCCGCTTCACCACCAGATGGTTTCGTGAGAAAGATGAAGAAATTTTTTGTTTGTTTTATATTTGAAAAGGAAAAATTTGATTTTATTATACAACAGTAATGAATTTATTTCGATTACAAAAATGAAGTGTTTTTTAGTTGAACTTTTTTAAGTAAATGAAATTGAATCCGCAAATTATCCGTTTCATTGAAGTGCTCTTTGGTATACCACATTTTTTGTTTTTTGGTCTGACGTTAACACAAACAAAGCGGATAGTTTTCCAACTCGTGAAGGGGCAACGTATAACTGCCCACGTGAAAACCAATGATTTTCTAAATAATCTATTTGAAATTTATCCCGCAAACACTAAGCGATTGGCCTTGCGACTTGCTATTGCGAACGTAAGGCGTACTGGAAATTGCAATCGTTTGAAGTCAAATGGAAGACCAGTCGGAATCATTGGTATGTCACCAAATCGCCAGGCAATGTTTGATTGAATGGTGAAGAAATTCAGTGCGTGTACATCATTATTCTTTGCGGCAAGAATTGCTCGTTCACTTAACCAAGCATAATTCTGATAGTGCATAAAGTCCCAGCAATTTGCATTAGGGCACCACTATAAGCCTTGCGGAGCCCGATACCTTTCCAACGAATGCAAAATTGTCGAAACCGGTTCGTGCGTTGTGGAGTTATTTATTCAGGAAGGAAAACCCGACTTATTTTTATATATATAGAAGATATTTTATAATTTATCAATGTTCGACACTAATAAATGTGTGCATCACGAGTGTTACCATATTACTAATGAACATTATTCAAAATTGTTATGTGATGTATTTATTTTTACTTAACTTAAATTTGCTACTTTGTACAGTGGAAAATAAGTTTTACTTCAATCGCGTGTGATCCTTACGCGCACTCTTTTTTTTCACCAGCGGTGCAAAAAAGGTTGGAAACCACTGATATACATTGCCAGCCTAAAAATTACATTCTCACCTGTTATATCACCAACCAGAGGTCCCAAAAAATCAGCTTCTCCATACAAACTCAGCACCATGGAAGCACTGCACTGCGGCTGCAGCGGCAAACACTTCTTCAAATCCTCATCAGACCACTTGAAAATCTTATTCTGAACATCAGGAACCAGAGCACTATGCATAGAAACCTCCAAATAATCAATAGGCACCGTACCAGTATTGGTGATGGTCACTTTGCACTCCGTTTCCTCTCCATTGTACAAAGACACGTTAGCAGTCTTCACAACATTCTCAAGTCCTGCACCGGAATTAACATCCTCCTGGACATCCGTGGTGATTTCCATAATGGGCAATTGGGGTATGACTTCTACGCTGTAGGAGTTCAAAAAGTTGCGGTTTAGCATGTTTTTGAGACGACAGTTGGATTTGACTCCTAAAGTGTGGGTGCTGTAGCCCAAGATTTCCAGTTCACCGCTTTCTATAGGGACTCCTGATAGTTTTACGTGGGCTGCCACGTTGTCTGCTGGTAGAATAACTGTTTGAGGAAGAGATTCAAAGACTACACCATTGGTGAGAAGTCTCATGTTGGAGACTTCAAGTTCGAATGGTAAGGGGTTTTGGAGTTTTAGATTTACTTCGCAGACGTCGTTCTGGACCCACAAATATTCTGAAAATTGCAATAACAATGCTGGTTGTTATCATTGATTTAAAATTTTATTACTTGTTAGAAATTTATTAGCCAGAACTTACCCATTTTGCTTTTAGGCTTATTACTCTTCCTATCCATCGACCCAAAATGTATCGGCGTATACAAAAAAGGTCCACTGTCCAATTTACTAGTCTCGATCTGAAACCAAAATCAAATATCCAATTCACCAAAAGATAAAAATACCTTACTAGATTCACCTAAAAACTAGTGGGGTGTATGGCATCGTGCCTTAAGGCAAATTGCTGGAACTTCCCGTACCGTAATGAAATATTCGAGAAATTTTTATAATATATTATTACAAATACTTATATTATTTTTGCTATCTTGTTATATCTGAGCAAATCAAATGTAAATTATAAATAAATCAATTTATCTCCATTAACAATCGTCATTTCATTTCGAATTCAATTAAAAAAAAAAATAGTTGCCTAATTTACACAAAATTGAAAAAGTGCTCCAGTATAGTCACAGTCGGATCTGTAAATAATTCTGTGCGACATTTTCACTTATACTGTGCTTAGCTTGGCGGCATTTTCACATTTTTCAATAGTTTTTTCACAAAATTGGAAAAGTGCTCCAGAACATATACAGTCTAAACGCACTTGGGTGAACATTTGTACCAGAGTGGCGCTTAGACTGTGCATAGCCTGGGTAATTTTTTCAATTTTTAATCCAAAATTACAAAAATATTTTATGGAAAATAAAAAATGTAATAATTTATATTTATCCTCAAAAGCAATTGTTTTTGTCAATACAATCTCAAAAACTGGCATTTTTTGCACATTTAGCTCTGTATCTCCGAAACCGCTGGGCCTGCCTTTGCCAAAAACTAATCAGCACATCTCCCTATCAATAGTGATCGTATGTTTTTTAAACCATTCAAATCGGTTGATTCGTGCGCCCGAAAACGTGGACGAAAAAATGCAAACATACAAAACACACGCACGTATCCATTTTTTCTTAAGTATGCCAAAATGTTCAGAAACCTTCAAAACGTTGAGAAATGCAAAAAATTTCATTTTCGATTTTTGGCCTATTACTATAACTACCCTACGGGAAGTTAAAAAAAGTCAATAGTAAAAAGTAGATGGAATTTTTATATTTTTATATTTCTAAAATCTTTATATTTACTTCACTAGAATCTTATTCTATCTTCATTTGGAATATATTCTTGAATTGGCATTTTATCAATACATCAATCCATGTAATGTAATTAATTTAAATGGATTTCAAATGAATTAACTTACATTGACACACACAGTGATTCAAATAAGATTTATTATAGGAAAATAAGATAAAGTGATAGTACTGCATTTTTCTGATAACAAATACACACAAATTTCATTTGTAAAAAAATCAACTTTCAGAAAATAATTTTGAATTCTATCCGTGTAATAAATATTTTCGAATTAATCACAAATCAAATTCATTAAACAAATCATAAAATAAATCTGTATTCAATTAAATTACAGTTAAAGATAATTTACCACTGTTTATATCCATATAAACTGATTATGAAATTCATCACATTTTCGATCATAAATGTATTTATGATTTATAATTTGACCAGTTAAATGTGATTGACGAATATACTCGTCATGAACGAGTGACAGAATTTTGCGTCATGTGTGTAAAACCCTGACAATTTTCAATTTAAAAAAAATAATTCGCAATTTTTACTCAATATCATATTTGAAAGCAAAAATCTGGTATCATTACATCATGATATCACAGTATCCCTATGGTTGCGAGACTAGAGCTCGTACCCTAGCGCCACGGATCTAACTTTGCCAAATCTTAACGTAATCAAAACCGGATTTTTTTGTACAAAAGCTTTTGAAGAATTTAAACATATAAAAAACCAACTAAAGTAATTTTTTGTTAAATCATTACATCGTGATATCACAGTATCCCTAAGGTTGCGAGACCAAAGCTCGTACCCTAGCGCCACGGACCTAACTTTGCCAAATCTTAACGTAGTCAAACCGGATTTTTTTGTACAAAAGCTCTTGAAAAATTTAAACATATAAAAAACCAACTAAAGTAATTTTTTGTTAAATTATTACATCGTAATATCACAGTATCCCTATGATTGCGAGACCAAAGCTCGTACCCTAGCGCCACGGATCTAACTTTGCCAAATCTTAACGTAATCAAACCGGATTTTTTTGTACAAAAGCTCTTGAAGAATTTAAACATATAAAAAACCAACTAAGTAATTTTTTGTTAAATCATTACATCGTGATATCACAGTATCCCTAAGGTTGCGAGACCAAAAGCTCGTACCCAGCGCCCACGGACCTAACTTTGCCAAATCTTAACGTAGTCAAACCGGATTTTTTTGTACAAAAGCTCTTGAAAAATTTAAACATATAAAAAACCAACTAAAGTATTTTTTGTTAAATTATTACATCGTGATATCACAGTATCCGATGAGTGCGAGACCAAAGCTCGTACCCTAGCGCCACGGACCTAACTTTGCAAATCTTAACGTAGTCAAACCGGATTTTTTTGTACAAAAGCTCTTGAAAAATTAAACATATAAAAAACCAACTAAAGTAATTTTTTGTTAAATTATTACATCGTGATATCACAGTATCCCTATGGTTGCGAGACCAAAGCTCGTACCCTAGCGCCACGGATCTAACTTTGCCAAATCTTAACGTAATCAAACCGGATTTTTTTTGTACAAAAGCTCTTGAAGAATTTAAACATATAAAAAACCAACTAAAGTAATTTTTTGTTAAATCATTACATCGTGATATCACAGTATCCCTAAGGTTGCGAGACCAAAGCTCGTACCCTAGCGCCACGGATCTAACTTTGCCAAATCTTAACGTAATCAAACCGGATTTTTTTTGTACAAAAAGTCTTGAAGAAACTAAACATAGTAAGAAGCAACTAAAGTATATTTTTGTTAACAGTTGGTTATTAAAAAGCAAACCCAGTAGAATTCATTTCTAATAGTGATATTTTTTTAATATTCTTTTGACTTTTTGATGTTATTGCAGCAATCTAAAGGTTCTTTTTTAACTCGACATCATATTTAAAAGTAAAAATCAGACACACACACATCCATTTAGTTTCTGAGGTATGCCAAAATGTTCAGAAACCTTCAAAATGTCCAGAAATGCAAAAAAATTCATTTTCGATTTTCTGCCCATTACTATAACTACCCTACGGGAAGTTAATTATCAATTTCTCAAAGTACCTTTTGTGGTCTCATATGAGGTTTGAGGTTGCTCAAGGTGAACGACTGGCAGAATGGTAAATCGGTCAGATTTGCAGGTGGTATCACTATGCCATTGTCCAAGACCAAAGGAACAGGAGCACCTTCACATTGGGAACTCAAAGACTGAAACAATGAAAAAATAATTTGATACATATAAAATTTGTTGTATTATTGGTGACCCCGACGTGATCACTTTAATTACCTGCAATTGCATGGCAAATTCCTTCCTTTCAATTGGTGAAAGATGCTGCCACATCACTGGATCAGAAAAGTTAGATGTCGAGTTGCCAAAGCTGGGTTGCCCATTCTTCTCGCAGAGACTACCAATTGTTGTAGGAGCTGAATCTGTAAAGCGGGCCAACCTGGAATAATAGACAGATAAATAAATAAATAAATAATATATATATATATATTATATATATATATATATATATATATATGGTAAGTCTTTTATCCTTACCTATATTATTAGCAATAACCTCAGTAGGTTCCAAACTGAGTTTGTGTCCGGTGAAACTTTCCAGCATCAGCCTGTAACACTGCTGCCAATCCGGGTTGGGATTATTTTGGCTCACATACCTCGTGGCTGCCAAACGCTGGCAAAAGGCAGCTTTTCTCATGAATCCGATTTGTTGGTATAAATCGGACAGAGTTTCAAATCTGAGAGAAAAAAGATAATGCGGTTCATTAATCACGTGATCAAAATTTTGTGAAGTACTACCTTAATATAAAGTACAACATACCTTTGGATTCGTTCAATTTCACTCAAAGACAAATTGATAATGACAACATTTGCAAAAACGAAGCAGCCTAAAAATACAAAACTATGTATCAGTATATATATATATATAATATATACATTACTAGGCATTTATATGGGGCACGGTCAGTATATTAGAAAAATGTATATATACATTTATATATTGATTATACACTACAATGCATTTATATACGGGGCCAGTATATCAGAAAAATGGATAATACATTTATATATTGATTTATACATGATTTGGCATATATATATGGGGGTCAATATATTAGAAAAGTGAATTTATACATTTATATATTAATTTACACACTACTAGGCATTTATA